ACAGGCCCAGCTGCTCACTGCTCACCAGCTACCATGCCCGGAGCTCAAGGCCAGCCGTGCACAAGTGCAGATGGAGAAGCCCGGACGGGGTGCAGGGCCAGACTGGAAGGCACCTGGGGTGGGGGCCGCAGATGCATAAGACTTGGCTGGAAGGCCAATTGGGTGCACCCTGCTGAGGATGTGGCAAGGAGGTTCAGATACAGCCTCTCAGATTTACCACCCAGGCGCGTGTGCGCGCGCATATGGATATTATGATTTCACTGCAATCAAGAAGTTTATGTCAGATTCATACAAACAAGTTAGGAGTCAATGGGAGACGGCAGCCTGCCTGGCTGGGGGGAGAGGGAGTGTGGGGCCGGTGGGGGTGCAGAGGTGGGGGGGGCGGTGCCCCCGCTCTCTGATTACACAACGACAGGTCTCTCACGGCACATAAAACCCTCTGCCCTCTCTCCCGGAACCACTAGCACTGGTGTTCCAGTGTCCGTGAAACATAAGGGTTTTAATCTCACACCTCACAGAGCAGTCGGAGGCTTGGTCGCGACCGTCAACCAAAGTTGGATGGAGCACTGCAGACACATTGGGGGTGGGATGTGGGGGGCAGATACGGGACCCCCTCCCCCCTCACTGAGTGTACTGTCCAGGCCCAGGAGGGAGGGATGGGGGTGGAGGTGGGAATCGATTAACTGGTTGGCTAAGGCCACGGAAGTGTGTGTTTCCTGGTGCTGCTGCTGCCTGCCAGCCCTCCTGGGACCAGAGATGTGTTAACACTGAATGCCACGGAGCCGGACCGCTTTCCTGGGACTGAGCGGCGGCGGCGGCGGCGGGGGCCGCCGAGCCCTACTTCCTCCTGCATTTGCTTTTGGTGGTGTCGTAGGCGCGGACGATGGCCTCCTGGGTCACGGCTCCGTGCTCTTCTTGAGAAAAGGCGTAGCCATCTGCAAGACAGGCGGGAGAGGGGTTACAGCGTGGGGCTAGGGGCACGGCAGGGTCACCCCCTTGGGGGTTCACTCGCTGGGCTGCTAGACTCAGGGTCAGCGGTTCAAACTCGCTAGCCGCTCAGGTGGAGAAAGAGGCACCTGCCTGCCTGCTCCTGTGGAGGTGAACAGTCTCGGGAACCTTGGGGGCAGCGCTGCTCTGTCCTGCCTGCGGACTCGCTGCGAGTTGGAATCCGCCGGACGGCAGTGGGTTTGGCTGTCTGGGTTTGGCAGCGGGACTGGCCCCGTGAGCCTTGGCCAGGTGAAGGCCTGGATTTGAATCATGGGGAAGGTACCATGGACTGGCAAACAGACAGATCTGGTTTGGAAGAAGTACGGCCAGCATGCTCCTTAGAAGCAAGCATGGTGAGATGTTGCCTCACGTCCTTTGGGAGTGTTGTCAGGAGAGACCAGTCCCTGGAGAAGGACATCATGCTTGGTCAAGTGCAGGGGTGGCAAAAGAGAGCAAGGCCTTTGACAAGATGGGTGGACATAGTGGGTGCAGTGATGGGCCCACACCTAGGAACGATTGTGAGGATCACCTGGGACAGGACAGTGTTTTGTCCTGTTGTCCATGGGGTGGTTATGGGTCGGAATCAACGTGAGGGCTTCTTACCTCAACAACAATAACAGGTGGCGGCCTCTCATCCCTGGGTGTAGCACACAGCCAATGGGCATGGCTCTGAGTCCACCCAGAAGTGCCGAGGAAGAATGACCTGGCAGCCTGCCCCCTCTGACTCAGCCTGGTTCCACTCGGAATTGGAACTTGAGGGTGGCGACTGGCTCGGTGAAGGCCTGGGGTGAGGAGAGCCAGCACCCAGGCGTGGGGTGGCTGCTGCAGGGGCTGGAACTATTGGGCAGGGGGGTGGGGGTGGGGCTCAGCCAGCGCCTGGCGGGGCTCAGGGTGAGTGCCACGGCTCAGGACTCCACTTTCCCATCTCCAACCAAGGGGAGAGGCCTGTTGTTCTGCTCCGGATAGGAAGCGCAGGGGACCCTCTTCCTGGAGCGGGAGGGAGGCCGGCTGAGTAGTTTATGAAGCCCTCAACCTTCCGGGAGTGAGTCGGTGAGAGGCCGGTGGGGCAGCCCGGGAGTGGTGTCCCTGCCCTTAAACTGGGTGGATCTGACTTGGGCATAAAAACCATGGAAGTGGGTTTATTTCCATTTGGGTAAGGAATAAGGTGACAGGGTGGAATCCAGAGGAGAGGAGGGACTGGCTGCTTGGCCATGGGACATGGAGGTAGGAGGTAGGTAGTGGGGGTGGGGGAGTGGGCTGGTTCTTACAATCAGCCAATGAATAAGGAAAAACACTAACACCTGACTGCTGGCAGCCTCAGTTGTAGCAGCGAGGTTTTCGGTGATTGCTGTGCCTGAGGTCGATTGCCAGACCTTACTCCCAAGGCACCTCTTATTGTTGCTGTGAGGTATCATGGAGTTGCTTCCCACCCACGGCGACCTTATGCCCAACAGAACAAAACCCTGTCTGGCCCTGCTCCAGCCTCACACTTGTCCCTCTGCATGAGCCCGTTGTGGCAACCGCTGTGCCCATTTCATCCAGGGTCTTGCTCTTTTTATATTGCTGCCCCTCCACTTGACCAAGCATGATGTCCTTCTCCAGGGACTGGTCTCTCCTGACAATATGTGCAAACTATGTGAGACCCAGCCTCGCCCATCCTTGCCTCTAAGGAGCACTCTTTGGCTGTACTTCTTCCAAGACTGATGGGTTTGTCCTTTTAGCAGTCCGTGGTACTGTCAGTACTCTTCTCCAGCACCACCGTTCAAATGCACCGATTCTCCTTCAGTCTTCCTTATTCGTGTCCAACTTTCACAGACGTGTGAGGCAATGGAAAATACCGTGGCTGGGTCAGGCGCACCCTAGTCCTCAATGGAATATCCTTGCTTTTCAACACTCTAAAGAGGCCATGTGAAGCAGATTTACATAATGCAACATGCCTTTTGATGCCTTGACTGCTGCTTCCATGAGCATTATTTGGGCAACTTTAGGTGAACATAAGCTTCCAAACTCTCAGTGAGCACCCAAGGGACCTCCCATTCCATGACCTGCCACCCAGGGACCACCAGTTAACAGTGGTATGGATTTAAACATGTGAAAATTTTAAAACCAACCAACAACCACTGCCAGCAAGTTAATTCTGACTCATGAAAAACTCATGTCTTGAGAGAAAACCCGTTTCATAACATTTTCCTGGAAGCCAGTCAGTGTAGAGGAAACCCAAGTCCTCACAATTGGATTAGTGGACAACAGGATACACGGAGAAACGGCTGATGTCGCCTTGCTTGGATCCGCAGTCCATGCCTGTGGAAGCAGCAGTCAAGAAACCGAACGGCATTGCATCAGGCAGATCTGCTGCACAGCATCTTTAACGTCTTAGAGAACAGACGTCACTTAGAGGACGACTAAGGTGTGCTTAGCCCACGCCTGGGTACTTTCAACCCCTCACATGCCCGTGAAAGTTGGACCATGAGAACAAAGGAAATTGGACAGTGGACGACGGTTGCAGAACAGATGATACATTCGAATGATGGTGCTGGCAAAGAATATTGAAGGTGCCGTGGGGATGGCTCAAACAACAAGGTGTCTGTCTTGGAATGCTCCTTATACTCAAAGATGGCAAGATTGCCTCTTATATGCTTCGGGCATGTTATCCGGAGAGTCCAATCCCTGGGGAAGGACCTCATGCTTGGCAGCATAGACAGTGAAGACTCCCCCAGGCGAGAGACTGACACCGGGACTGACATGGTGGGCTCAGCCCTAACAACTGTGAGGATGGAGCAGGACTGGGAGTGTTTCCTGAGGTGGTGCGTAGGGTGGCGATGAGTCAGAACCCACCCGATGGCCCCTAACATCAACAACAATATTCTTGACAGAAGGCTCTCTTCTGCAATGCCACTGGCTGAGCCTGGACCACCGACCTTTAAGTGAGGAGCCGAGCATCGCCTTTGTAGGATCGACCAGAGAGAGCTGCTGTGACTGCTGACCATGTGGGTGCAGAGCAGAGCAGGTCCCTAGGGTCTCCAGGGCTGTGACCTTTCAGAAGCGCATGGCCACGCTTCTCCTGCAAGGGCCCTCTGGGTGGGCTCCAACTGCCATTCTTACAATGAGTAGTTGAGCGCTTCACCATTTGTGTCACCCGGAGGCTCCTAATAATCGTTAAAGTCTGGCTTCCAACATTCTGTTTGTCTTCCTCATCTTGGGGTTGCTCTCTGATATATTTTGTCATTGTGGGTAGTCCCCTTGAATTTTTGTTGCATGGTTTTCGGTATATGAAACCCAGGATTGATGAAGTTATAGAGAGAACGAGTAACATGAGTTCCTGGCGGGGGTGGGGGGAGGTGTGCAGTGGGGGAGCTGGGGTAAGGGGACACTGATCAAGGGGTTCAAGAAGAATGTTTTGAAACTGATTGTGGTAGCAATTGTATAATACTGCTTGATGTGACTGATAGGTATTAGCTCCCAATAAAACGGTTTCGATAGACAAACACAACCAGCAATACCTGTTGGCTCTGAATTGATTTTGACTCACAGCAAGCAACTGTATAGAAGCCACGAGAACTGCCGATCTGTTTCCAAGGCGGTCAGCCTTTATGAAAGCTGCCTCCATCCACATCCTTCTATCTGACTGGCCCAGGCGTTGAAACCACCACCCTTTCCTTAGCAGACATGCATTTCACTACTTTGCTGCCCAAACCCAACCTTACTGCCATTGAGTGGAACCCAACCTATAGGGCAGGGTAGAACCGCCCCTGGGGGTTTCGGAGGCTGTAAGCTTTTATGAGAGTAGAAAGCTTAGTCTTTTTCTCGCAGAGCAGCTGGTTTTGAACTGCTGATCTTGCGATAGTAGCAGCCCAAAGCTTAACCACTATGCCACCAGGACGCCTCACTTTGCTACTCAGTAAACCAAAGAACCAGCTGAATTTGACATTCTGATCTCGAGACAGTACAGTGAAGTATATGACAGCCGTGGGTTTCCTGCATCTATGTTTAAGGTTTTGCGGGAGAAAGATGGGGCTTTCTATTGAAATAAGAGGGTTCAGTCTCAGAAACCTACAAGGGCAGTTCTACCCTGTTTTCTAGGGTCACTATCGACTCCAACACGGTGAGTTTTAATGTTTCAGGTTTAGCCCGGGACCCATAACCACACACCTTTAAGAGGTGCCATCAGAAAGTGTGCTGACATGTGGTTTAAAAAAGGGAGTTTCTAGTGAAAATACAGACACCCTCTAACAATGTCTACAAGGAAGTGATCAGCCTTGGATGTCCTCCACCCTCCGTTGGTCCCTGAACTGGAAGTCTCTGGCTCTGGGCTAGTTTCCCACGCCAAGTCCTCTACCAAGCGGACAAAACCCCAAGGCTCAGGACGGCCCCACAGTGACCAAGGAGCTGCCTGAGGACACGCTGCGAGTTTCAGAGAGGGGCAAGTTGAAAGTGGGGATGAGACTGCAGTGGGGTCTTTCTCAGTGGACTTTGTCGACCCTCACCTCTTTAACAAACCAGCAAAACCCACAGCCCTGTCCATGATGTGGCAGGCAGGGTGAAGCAGCCCCCGCTCAGTGTCAAGCCTAACAAACTGGGTGCAGGGGTCGGCTGCTCCAATTGGACCCTCTTATCCAGCCCAGGGGCGCCCAGTGGTGCAGCTGTTTGGCCTGCTGGCTCCAGCTGCATCCATGCCAAGGGTCTCTCTGCCTTCCTGTGGGAGGGCTTTCTGCTCAGGTAGCTCCTCCACCTTGGAACCATCTCCCTCCTTGGAAGAATAATGAGGTGCTCTCAAGACCTCAAGGAGCCTTGAAGGTAGAGTAGGTGTGGCAGTTACATAATCTCCTGTCAACTTGTGAAGGGGTGGAGTCTAGACTGTTCATTAGGTCACAGCCAATGAGACCTCTGTGTGGGCATGGGCTCCTGAGGGTTCTGAGAACTCCTGTCTCCCTCCCTGGAGGTGGGACAC